AGCACTTGTTGCTCTTAAAACCACTAGAGTTTAATTTCACAGATCATAAGCACTTGTTGCTCTTAAAATCACTAGAGTTTAATTTCACAGATCATGAGCACTTGTTGCTCTTAAAATCACTAGAGTTTAATTTCACAGATCATGAGCACTTCTTGCTCTTAAAATGAGCAACAGCCCAGTCCCAGTTTAGCTTACAATTTCGACCGGAGAGAGATTAACAAAAATTTGGGATACTTTAAGGGAGGAATTTCACACTCGAATACACATTCACCAGAATGGACAATCTTAGGGCCGTAGCCCACTTAAAATGTGCTGAAGGCTCTGTGGAAGATCAGTAAAACGTGGTAAAGGGAACAGTGAAAATTTTTAATTAATAAAATCAATTCTTTTTTTTGTTGGAATGGTGAGTGTGGGAGGCCCTTTAAAAAAAAATAAAAAAAAATATGATGGTTGTTACTACTTACTAGAATATTCCTTTCCTTTTTAGGTATGTTTTTACAATCTTTTTTTTTTTTTTTTTGTTATACAGTGAATTCACTTGACTTGATTAAAATGGTACAAAATTAGATACAAGCCGGTTGAAGCCGCCCTGTAGGCTTACACTTACAGAGACTGAAAAGTGCTATACACTGTATACAGCTGCTGATATGAAGCTTACAGGGGACAAGGTTGTTGTAAATGCTCAATGGCAGGTTCATGGATACTGTAATATCACATCAATAATACAGTAATGTATGGATATGGTTAATATCATATCAATAAAGGAAGAAGAACAAGTAAAAATCACAAAAAATGTCATTCTACATCTACTGATCTACAAAGGAAAAGGAGGACTTGAGAGTACTGTTAGTATTATGGATGAGTATACCTGGTACTCTACATGCTTCAAATGTTTCAAAATTGAGTTTTATTTCTAGTGTCCCAGATTACTCTGTTACCAGGGGTAATTTGGGATGCTATTATTTTGCATCTGGCACCTTACAAATAGCATATGAAATTTTTTGGAGATGCCATACAATAGCCCGTGCAATGAGCTATAAATAAAATACTTACAAAAACTTTTTTAAAAACCACGTTTTTCTTGTGGACTAAAAAGTAGAAAATAAATTATTGCTCGCCCCAAAAAACGCGTGTTGGGCAGATTTATGATTAAAGCATAAAGCACACAACACACGAATTTTTTAAATTTGATGGTGAACGTACAGCCCGACCCACGTTTTTTGGGGTGAGCAATAATTTATTTTCTACTTTTTAGTCCACAAGAAAAACATGGTTTTTTAAGAGGTTACGCAGCGTCAGTGCCTGCTAGTCTATAACGTCGGCGCCCACACGTCATACTATATATATATACTATATACCGTCAACCGGGGCTACTCGGCACAAGTGGGGCTACTCAGGACAGGCCTCCAACACGGCGTAAAACTGTTGTAGTAGCGAAACTAATTGGAATATTGCAAAACTAAAAATAGTTGCGTAAATGTCAACATTTTTACTATCTATGTAGTATAAAGGAAGTCGAAAAATACTACATTTACTTGCTTTGAAAAATTCCTGAAAAAAATGGTGAAAAACTATATTTTGTAAAGTTACAACTGCTAAGGTATGTAGCAAAAAAAAATTTGCCATATTTAAAAATTTTACTTACATCCTGTAAGCTTACAGATACGAAAAAAATGCTATAAGGCTGCAGATATGAAGCTTGCAGTGGACAAGGTTGTTGTAAATGCTCAATGGCATGTTCATGGATACGGTAGTATCGCATCAATAATATGATAATTGCACATCAATAATACGGTAATTAATGTATATGGCAATATCATATCAATAAAGGAAAAACAAGTAAAGATCACAGAAAATGTCATTTATTCTACCCCTACATCATCTACAGTGAAAGAGGAGGACTTCAGAGTACTGTTAGTAATGGATGAGTATGCTCTGCATGCTTCAAATGTTTTGAAATGAAGTTTTGTTCCCATTGTCCCGAGTAGCCCCAACCGACGGGGCTACTTGGGACAATCTTTATTTTGCGTCTGGCACCTTACGAATAGCATATGGAATTTTTTTGACAATGCCATTCGATAGCCCTCGCAAAGAGCTATAAAATGAGCCTAAATTTGTTTATGAAATGTTTCATCGTAAGAAGTTATTAACAGTTATTAAAAAAAAAAAAGATCAAATCTGTCCCGAGTAGCCCCGGTTGACGGTATATATACTTTACTCAATTAAGCTAATTTAGGTCTCTAATTGCTAGTTTTTATGATTGTATCTGAAATTGTTAGGCGAAAATAGCCTGCATGCCAAATTTCCGATCTCTAGAGCAATCAGAAGTGGGCTAATTTTTGTTGTCAATGTTAACAACAAACAAACAAATGCGAAGCTGAGTAAAGAAAAACGTGTTAAAAATGAGCCCAAACTTGTTAATGAAATGCTTCATGGTAAGAAGTTATTAAAAAAATGCTCAAAACTGTCCCTAATTACCTCATTTGATGGTAGATAGAATTGTGCCCTGGCATCATTGAATGAAAAGTAATTAACCTAAACAATGATTTATTTCTCCAAAAAATCTAATGGTTATCACTAAAATATTCCTTTCTGTTCCAGGTATGTTTTTCATGATCTTTTTTTTTTGAATTCACTTGACCCAATTAGAATGGTGTGAAATTACAAGCCATCCTGTATGCTTACTGATACAGATGAAATGCTATATGGCTGCTGATATGAAGCTTGCAGTGGACAAGGCCATTGTAAGTGCTCTATGGCACGTCCATAGATAACAGTAATATCATATCAGTAATACATTAATGTATGTATATGGTAATATCATATCAATAAAGGAAAAACAAGTAAAATGTCATTTATTCTACATCTACAGCATCTATAAAGGAAGAGGAGGACTTCAGACTACTGTTAGTAATGGCTGATTACACTTTGAATGCTTCAAACGTTTTTAACGTCAGTTTTATCTCAAGTGCCCCGGATTACCTTGTTCCCAGTGGTAATTTGGGATGCTTTTAATTAATTGCCTCTGGCACCTCACAAATAGCATATGAATTTTTTTTTTAAGACACCATACCAAAGCCATCACAAAGAGCTTTAAAATGAGCCTAAACTTGTTTATGAAATGTTTCATAGTAAGAAGTTGTTAACAAAAAAAAATGCTCAAAACCGTCCCTTATTACCCCATTTTACGGTACATTCTGCATGCTTCAAATGTTTTAAAATTAGATTTTATTTCAAGTGTAAGCCTCCCAGGGTAATTTGGGAGGCTTTTATTTTGTGTCTTGCACCTTACAAATAGCATATGGTATTTTTTGAAGATGCCGTATGATAGCCCTTAGAAAGGACCTTTAAATGAGCCCAAACTCGTGTATTAAATGTTTCATGGTAAGAAGTTGTTAATGGAAATAAGAAGTTATTAATGGAAAAACGCTCAAAATCATCCCTTATTGCCCCATTTGACAGTTTTAGAAATCAAGGTTCTACTGAATCCAGTTGATGTATTTTTAATTTATGTCCAAAATTTCAAACATTTTAGTTTGAAAGTTTAAATCAAACTATAACATTTATTTTCCATTGCTTCTAATACCGTCAAACGGGGTAAAAAGGGACGGGCGGGGTAAATAGGGACGCGGGTCCCACATTTCATAGAAATGTTGTAGGTAGCATAGTAAGAAGTTATTAACAAAAAACGCTCAAAACCATCCTTTTTTACCCCGTTTGACGGTAGGTACTTAATTAAGTAGGAGGCTTGTAATTATGAAAACTTCGACACAGTCCATTAAAGTAGAACATATAACTGAAGAGTTTAAATGTGAAAGACCTGCTCCTCTTAAATGTCATCTGACTATCTTTTTTTCTAGGGCTTTATATGCAACTGTCATAGAAAGGAAGTACTTAAGTATTTATAAAGTACCTACTATTGATGTACAGGTATTTTGTGCTGTGCATCAATCATACATTCTTGAAGTTTTTATTGAAGTAACGTTTCAAGGAGAACAAAGTTTTAGATAAATAACAATGGCTAGTAATGAAGTTTGTGAAGAAAGTGTTAGTGAACTTTTTGATAAGACAGTTAATTTGTTTGAGTCAATTAAGGACTCTAATTTAGACCATGGCTCAGCAGAACTACAAGTGAGTTGCTTTTATTACTAAGAGCAATAGGTCAATTTGTTTAACTTTGCATCATATTTTTTTTTATTTTTTACTATCCAATAGTAATAGACAAATAGGTGAGCACTTATTCTGCTGTGTTGTCCTGACTTATAAGTAATATATCTTGCTGTCAGTGCAGCTGCTTCTTTTAAAACCAAAGGCTTTTTTTGGGCATCCAACTAACATTATTTTTTTTAGTTGCTTTATCATTGATGAATACCAGTATTATCTTGTTCAGAATATATAAACCAATACTAATTATTCATTTATATTATTGCTGAAATATATAGGTACCTACTAACCATCTCGATGCAGTATATATATATGGAGAAATGTACTAATGTTCATGTTGCTACATTGATAAAGTTAAGATAGGTAAGTTATGAAAATTTTACTCAACTATTCTGCTGAATTAAATTCATAAAAATCAAATTTTGTTTCTCTTCCATGAGTCTGAGGTTTTGTAAAACCCTTAAATTTAAGTTCAATGTGATGGCTTTAAAATCTAGAATTATTTTTCTATTCATATTGTAGCTATTTAAAGCTTAATCAAATATCATTGGAAGCGTGTCTGTTGAGAATTACTTACACTATTCATACCTTATGCTCACTAATTTTGCTTCTATATTGATTTCAGAGAGACATTGAAAAGTGTAGGTGTGCATTGGAGCACCTAACCTTGCTTGTCTCGCAGCTGGGTCTATTCAGTGACAATGAAGGAATAGAAGAATTATCCACACCTACTGTCAAATTTCTGCTGCTGCCAGCATTGTTAGGCTACATCACCAGCAGGAGGAAATGCCAGCCCTTCAACCCTTGCTCAGCCACAAAGCCGCAGGAGTTTGGGGAGGAGGTTGGTGAGGTGCTTCCCACCCGATGCCACATATTGAAGCTTGCCACTGAGTATTACGAGGACTTCATTACTCGTTGCAGGGATTATGGTATTACCAATCAATCAATTCCGAAGAGAAATGTCAACCACTTTGGGGAACAAACAAGTGCCAGGCCAACTCCAGAGGTGGGTTGCTCCTATCTTATATATAATTAAATATATATTTTGAATATATTTAATTCACTATGAATCATCATTATAGACTGAATATCTCAGATTAGTTTCATGTCTGTTAAATTCAGTGAGGCAATCAAGTCTTTGAATATTTTTGATATTGACATAAATGTCAACAATAACATGGTTATATGGTTTTTATTTTAACTAAAATCCTTATTTATTCATCAGTATGGGACACTGAAATACATCACTTGGTCTTGACTGGCATTGAAGTTTACTAGTATTTCATTTATTTGTCGTAAATTATCAATGTTGTTTTCATCAATTAGATGCTTATCATTTTTCCAAGAGCCTTGTTGATATATATTAGTTCATTTAATTGAGGATGATAATTTTCATGTTCATATCTGAGCATCATCAAATAACTAAATATGCAATTGATTAACGTTCTGAATTTGAACATTTTTTCCAGCAATTGAAGGCCATGAGCCAAGAAAGAGAGCAGAAAATACTTCGTTATAAAGAGAAGAAAAGATTAGAATTGCAGCTGAAAGAGCTGCGCCAGTCCAAGGTTGAGCCTGATGATGAGACAGCTCGAGAATTTTACTTGAAATGGTTGGAAATGGCCATCATTGAGAGGTTTGTATCATCACTGATGTGTGATACATGAGCTAAATGCTTTATAAAAACTAGGATTCATTTTGCATTTCTGATGCTGGATTGTATCAGGTCTTTGTGTTATGTGCCATAACTAATGTAGGCTATGTTAGCTGAATGTGTTAGCCCTATCATTGTATTGATACCAGAGTTACTCATGGCGCAGTCACATTGTCTTCAATGCAGTGTATTGATACCAGAGTTACTCATGGCACAGTCACATCATCTTCAACGTGTTGCTGTGATTTGAACCCCAATATGGTGTGGCATTCCAATATGGCGGGATATTCCAATATGGCGTGGCATTCTTGGCAGTGTGGAGGAGCTGGAGAGCTTGGGAGTGGAGGCGGCCATGCTGCAGAGGATGGCTGGTATGCAGAGCAGTCCTCAAGCCCATACACCGACCCCTCGCAGCGGCTCATTCAAGTAATTTGCTGAAGAAATTATTGTCTTTGATGAAAACCAATGATTTAGAATGAAATTACTTAGGGATTATGTATATTTTGTCATATATTATTCACTAAAAGGAGGTTATGGTTGTGGATATCATACCTAAGTACGAGATGCCCATCAATAGACTCGTAAGTTTAAAACTTCTATAATCCATGCATGGATGGCTTCATTCAACACAATCTCCTAGACACCAAAATTAGATCCTGGTCAAACTGATTTTTTTACTGGAAATCCAACTCTTCCACTTATATATGTATTTTTTATATGTTAATTGATTTTTTTTAATGCACTTATTTCTAGGCCTATTCTGATCACGCGTGACGCCTTACAAAAGAAAGTTTTTGGCCTTGGCTACCCCAGCCTGCCTGTCATGACGGTTGATGAGCTCTATGAGCAGCGCGCCAAGGAGGGATGGTGAGAACTACAAAAGAAGGTTTTTGGCCTCGGCTACCCCAGCCTGCCTGTCATGACGGTTGATGAGCTCTATGAGCAGCGCGCCAAGGAGGGATGGTGAGACCTGCATTCTTCTTCTTGTCTTCGCCATCTTAGTCTGAGCATTACTTTGAACATAAATTTGAACTTCATGTTGCGCATGCACTTATTCCTAGTGTTACGTTGCAGATAAGTTTGAAATTCACATTGCGCATGCACTAATTTTGAGCATTACTTTACACATAAGTTTGAACTTCACGTTGCGCATGCACTAATTTTGAGCATTACTTTGCACATAAATTTGAACTTCACATTGCGCATGCACTAATTGCTGGTGTTAGTTTGCACATAACTTCTAACCTCACCATGTACATGCACTAAGGTCTTGTAGTTATGATTCTGTATTAGAGAAATATATAGTAAATTATTTACGAGGAAAGAATTAGTTATGAGGATTGCTATTTACACATATACGATTAACATCTAGTAAAATTCTAATAATTCATAAGGGTCCACAGTGCATTGAACCATCAGTGACGTATCTCGGCTTGTAGCATACGATCACCAGAAGTCAAAAGATACTGTTTTGTTTAGTAAAAGTAAAGCAAAGCTGTGATGTCAGAGGCATGAAGTGTTGTAAGGCGTAGTGGCGCTGGTAGAGGTAGGAAAAGCTATAAAATGAAACTTTTGCCTAAAATGCAAACACTAGCGTAACGTTGAGTTTCCTGAGGTACAATGAGCTATGATATAGAACTGTATTGCCTGAGGTACGATAAGCACTAACGTTACGTTGATTTGCCTGCGGTAAAATAAGCACTAATATATAACTGGCGCCTGGAGTAAAATAAGCACTAACGTTACGTTGACTTGCCTGAGGTGCATTATGCACTAATGTAATTTAGTATTAGTTGGTGCCTGTGGTACGATAAAAACTAATGTTACGATGAGTTGCCAGAGGTACAGTAAGCACTGATGCAGAGCTTTTGCCACAGGTACGATAAGCTGAGCGGTCCGCCGGATGCCCCGCACGACGATGCAGATCAGCGTCCCGACGACGAACAGAACAGCGATGACGACGCGAGCGAGGAGACGAGGCGCCGCCTAGCAGCCCGTGACGAATACCGGGACATGCATCGTCGCGGCTGGGGGAACACGTACAATAGGAGCTAGGAGACCGGGGAACACGTACAATAGGAGCTAGGAGACCGGGGAACACGTACAATAGGAGCTAGGAGACCGGGGAACACGTACAATAGGAGCTAGGAAACCGGGAACACATATAATGACAGTAGAAATGATAGAAATTGGGGTATAAAACAATAGGAGCTGAAGGGCCATCAAGGATGTCGCGGAGAGGGAGAGGAGGAAGACGCGTGCAATAGGTGGAGCTAGAGGGGGGAGGGAGCACGTATTATTGGAGCAAGTTTGTATCATAAGGAGGGAACGTCTGGCAGGGGTTGAATTAATATTTTGGCTTGGAGTAAGGGGGTAAAGGGAGGGCAAAATATAAGATAAAATTTATACATCTTTCCATTATATCCCCAGGTGAAACTAACCGATAGAGTTGGCCAACGGCACAAGCATTATCTGGTGGAGAGAAAGCGCCTCCAATGAACGCATTACACGAGTAATGCGCCACGTAGCGCAGTGGGAACGAGATGAAAGGAGCTAGTCGTGGGTTCGAGCCTCGGGAAGCGCAGTTCATTTCTCGGTGTCGCGCTTGGTAGCCGTGGAGATGGAGTAGAGTGTCCAGCATTGTCTTGGGTTTGTGTCCCTAAACGAATTCGGGTACTTAGTATGAATTCGGTAAATATATTCATATTCGGTACATGAATTCGGGTACTTGTTACCTGGGATGATCTTTAGGTGTTGTTGACGAGACTTCCATGCCCTGCAGCTGCAGTGCCCCAGCTGTTGTTAGTAAATACATTGAATTATCGGCCATTTTAGGCCTTTTTTGTTCTCGGATTTGGCCGATTTTAGGCAACCTGAATTATGTACCACTACCTCCTGGAGAAATACATTTCGTGGTACGCATATGTACCAATACGTAGTCAACGTGTTAAGGTCGTTGTTGACGAGACTTCCATGCCCTGCAGCTGCAGTGCCCCAGCTGTTGTTAGTATAGCAGTCGTGCTGCGTTTAGCCAGCGGCTGCACCCGGCATATCTACGCCGCGTTAAGTTACAAGACGGGTTGCTTATATCCACAAATTGGACTGCAGTGCGCGGTGGTAGGTGGTGCATCTGTATTGCCGCAAGCATTGTATTATTGAACTCCTCATGAGTCCATGGATATCTCCTACATTTATTTCTAGCGTAGACATCCACTGAACTCCGTTGAATGTATATCGTGGGGTCTACACTCAATGAAGAACACATATACAAGCGTGGCTCAGGGCAATGCTGACTTCAGCATTTAAGGGAAAACTGCGACCCCTGGCTGCCCCAGCTGACATCTTACTGCGACACAAGCATGAAAAAGAGTGCTGTCCTCACTCCGTATCTCGCTTGGCCGGTATTTTACTCAAACCAAAGCAAACACGAGCACAAAAAAAAAAAAAACTGCAGCCACTACAGAAGTTGAGTAAAGCTATGAGTCCTCTGCCTTTTTAGCGCATTGTTCACGGACTGAGGCAAAATTTACTAATAATCGAAGAATTGTGGTAAATAATTATGTAACTTAACCTATTGTTCGGTAATTACATGCCCTTTTGTTATGTACTTGCTTGTATATCAAGTATATTGAGTACCTACTCAATTTTAAATGGGTTTTCAAGTGTATGTCGAAATTATCTGAACCAATTTTTCACAAATCGGATCAAGATTTGTGAACAATTGGTGCTCCTGTTAGAGACACATTAAAATGGACAGTCGTAAATTGAATTTTTAGTTTTGGGTTAGCAGAAATAGCGCCATGTCCTTGCTGTTGGAAATGTGAAAATTTCTGGAATATCTGGTCGATTCCTTGCTTATACTCAATAGATTTTCCTCCTCGTGAACGCACGCATCTGTAAATAATTCCCAAGCTTGTAAAGCGATTATAAAATGATCATATTCCTTCATAAAACTTCTGCAATTTGTTGCACTGGGTTGATTTTTATTTGCATGTAAAGTCTCTGTCTAGTTCGTCAATGCGTTGTTGAAAACGTGACCAATTTTACGTTTTATTGAGTTGTGGAAATGGGACCATCCTGAGGAATTTAATCTTACGTAACACCCGCAAATTGCAGGTGAAAACTTGTATGTCATGCATCTAATAAACATCGCTTCATAATTTCATTCCGTAGTGCCAATAGATTGATGCGATGTTGAGTGTTAAAGAAAGACTTTAGTTAAAATTTAGTTTGTCTTCCAGCTCAATCTTCCTAGTGAATCAAGGTGACGGTGATGAATCATTCAAAGGTTTCCTATTCCTGATATTCATTAGTTACTGGTCGGAAAAAGTCTACCTGATTGATTTTCATGTCAGATATTCTACGCGTTCATGGCTGACACCTCAGAATCAGAGGTAGAAGACGACAACCTGCCAAGTGAGTACATTTTAAGCTCCTATTGAGTGTCTTGTAATAAGAGCGGTCAGTTTTAGTGTGCTCTTTCAACGCAGTACGTCTGGCCGTCAGAATTGGCTGTGTAACTTTGTACGCCTGGCAGGCAGTACCTGTTATGTAATACATAAACGTACGTTTGGCAGGCAGTGCTGGTTTTGTGATGTACTGATCGGGTTTTATGTAATATCACAACGCTTGGCAGGTAGCACTGGTCAAGTTTTGTGTTGTGTCTGATGTGATAACGTCTGTAAGGCCATCGTGGCTATGGGCTGTATTAAGGTCTTACGTCATGTGGGTAGTAGAGGCAGCGTTGTGTAAGAATCGTACGTCTGGAAGTCTGGACTAATTATGCGCTGTGTGAGTGTCGTACGTCTTGCAAGCACTCCTGTTTTTATTGTGTTGATATCCTAGTCTGGCAGGCAGGTCTGGTTTTATGCTACATTAACATAACATCGTACGTCTGCCAGACACTCCTGGTCAAGCTCTTCTGAAAGCCTGCAAAGACGGTCAGCTGGACGTTGTAAAACAACTGCTCAAGAGTGACGTCACTGCCGTGAATGCTGCCGACGCAGACGGCTACACTCCCTTGCACCGCGCTGCGTATAACAACCACAGCATCATCCTCAAGGTACCACACAGCGTATAACAACCACAGCATCATCCTCAAGGTACCACACAGCGTATAACAACCACAGCATCATCCTCAAGGTACCACACACGCTGCAAATAGCAACCGCTCCTTCTTTGGTTCCACTAAAATATGGTAATATAATAATAGTAGTAATTGCCAAATTAACCAATAAATTTTTTCTGCTTCCATTAGCAGCCAATTAACTGAATTGCCGAATAAATGGGATGTTTGAAAAAGACTTAAGGTTCTATTTTAAACTCATTTCTGCGTGTCATTTCTTCACTGTGCTGTGCCACTGACCGTGCTGTGCCACTGACCGTGCTGTGCCACTGACCGTGCTGTGCCACTGACCGTGCTGTGCCACTGACCGTGCTGTGCCACTGACCGTGCTGTGCCACTGACCGTGCTGTGCCATTGACCGTAGTTACTGCTGCACTACGGGGCGCGTGTAGACGCCGTGACGGTAGACGGGCGCTCCGCCCTACACTCGGCCTGTCACTGGGGGAGCCTGGAGTGCGTACGGCCGCTGGTGCGAGCACACGCTGACATCAACGCCCAGACCTCGGGGGGGCAGACGCCCCTACACCTCGCCGCTGCCAACGTCCGCGCAGGTCAGCCGTGCACATTACTCTTAAAAACACGTAAAAACAACACTCAATAAAATTAATGGGTTATATTGTTCAGATAATGACACACTTTGCCGCTGCCAACGTCCGCGCAGGTCAGCCGTGCACATTACTCTTAAAAACACGTAAAAACAACACTCAATAAAATTAATGGGTGATATTTTCTTGATAATGACACACTTTGCCGTTGCTAACGTCCGCGCAGGACATGCGTGCACATCACTCTTAAAAACACGTAAAAACAACACTCAATAAAATGAATGTGGTATACTGTACTGTGCAAATAATGACGCACTTTGCCGCTGCTAACGTCCGCGCAGGTCAGGCGCATAACTAACTCTAAAGATCACACTCAAAATATGAATGGGTCATATTGTCTAGATAATTACTCATTTCCTGATCGTGGTTCTGATGCGGAACCTTTTACTGAGCCAAACTGAGTCAGGATGACTGAATTTAAGTAATATATGTGCATCGCTATTTATATTAAGTCTCACTGGCTTCTCTGAGAGAAAGTTTGCATTCGTATTCTAGACGAGCTTTTAATTAATTAATTTTATTTTTAATTTTATTTATTTTCCACTTTATTTATTTTTTATTTTCAACTCCCTCTATCTTCTGTTTTTTTTTCTTCGCATCCCCGGCAAAATCATGTTACTCATGTTACTGGCCACGTGTAAAGAGTTACTGGCGGCTTCCGTGGCCAGTAGCGTCTATACTCTATAGTATAAAGTGGCGGGGCCACTAGCACGACAAATAGTGGCAGGTAATATTCGAAAGTTTTTCTGTCAGCCACCACTGTCCCCATGGACGAGTCACGTGTATCTTATTTACCTGCTATAATAACTCCATTTAACTTAATATAAAAGGTAGCTATTTTAAATCCATTTAACTTAATATAAATGGCAGCTATATTAAATCCATTCTACCTAATAAATATGGCGACTGCTTTCGCAGTTCGTTCGTATGTCACGTCTTATTTATTTAAATGCTTTCTTAACTCCATTCGACCTAATGTAAATGTTAATTGTTTGCTCAGGTCGCACGCTGAAATATCTGCTCCGGCAGCCGCGGCTCAAGAAGGACATCGTGAACGCGCTGGGGGAGACCGCCCGGGACCTCGCCCTGCGCTGCGGCCCTTACGCCCCCTTGTTCGACAGCGTCAAGCAGAAGCCCTTAGTGGAGGACTGCAGTGATACACCTGCAGCGATACATCTCGAGGACTCATCTGCCGACCTTGAGAACCCTTCTTCAGACCTTAAGATCCAATTTTCAGACCTTAAGAACCCTTCTTCAGACCTTCAGAACCCTTCTTCAAACCTTCAGAACCCTTCTTCAGATATTAAAAACCCTTCTTCAGACATTAAGAACCCTTCTTCAGACCTTAAGAACCCTTCTTCAGACTTTAAAAACCCTTCTTCAGACCTTAAGAACTCGTCAGGTATTAAGGATTTTTCTTCGGACCTCAAGGACTCTTCGGCTGAACTTAGGAACCCTTCTGCAGGCATTAAAGATCCTTCCCTTGGTGAAATTTCTCCTGCTATTAGTGATCCTTCAGCTGCCCTTGCAGACTCTCTTCCAGCTCGTGATGTCACTGCTGCAGACACGTGTCCAGACAACCTGATAACTGCCTGCGTTGATGAAACAAGAATAACTGATAGTTGATTGTGGCTCTTTTATTATAAGTGCAACTGTTTACAAGTCACAACCCTAAGTGATATACGGGGTGTGTGTTCGGAGATACTGAGATAGTGGACCTGAAGACTTACACGCCATTTCCTGTGCCACTGTTTTATTTACAAGCGTTTTAGCGTATAAGAGCGACCCTGGCAGTTCTGTACTGTGTTGGACAAGACGGTTAGATTTGGTGCAGATACATAGAATTACGGAGAACTGTGTTACGTGACGTGTTTTACTTGTGCTAGACTACAAGACGTGATCTATAATTAAGCGTATTTTTGTAAGGTACCAAGGTGCACTTTGTTCTCGGAATATTCACTATTGTTGCCTAGTGTATTCAAGACAAGATGGCTACCGCTCACAGCGTGCTAAGGCACGGCTTGCAGATGCGTTCCAACTTCGACTTCTCAAAGCTGCAGCTTCGTTCGTGGTTCCCCCGCCACATGGCGGTCGGGATGATGCAGATGCAGGGCAAACTGCACAGCATCGATGCCGTCATCGAAGTTCATGACGCCAGAATCCCATTCACGGGCCGCAACTTCAATCTCTCCGACATCGGTATCCTGAAGCCCTCGATACTCGTGCTAAACAAAGTCGACCTTGTGGCCCCAGAACGACGCGAGCGCGTGGCTTCTCGGTTCAATGACATGGGGCATGAAGTGCTCTTCACCAACTCCAAGGAGCCTTCAGATCGTGGAGTGGAATGTATAGTAGAAAAGGTTCTGCACAAAATCAAAAACTCGAACCGGTACAACAGGTCCGAGTTTCCCGAAATCAACCTCATGATTTTGGGCATCCCGAACGTGGGCAAGTCATCGCTTATTAATTCCCTACGCAACCGCAACATGCACAGGAAGAAGGCCGCCGCAGTAGCGCCTAGGCCTGGCGTCACGAGATGCGTAATGGAGCGCATTCAGGTGCGTAACTTTGTGAATTGAAATTACGTAACATTTTGCATTACGGAGCAGTGAGTTGCCTTGTGTCACCAACATGACACAAGGCAACATGACACCATGTGTCATGTTGGTGACTATGTGTATGTAGCTAGAACACACAAATTCACCACACAATGTGTAACTCTAGAATGCAACCTCAGGTATGCAGGAGGCCGCAGGTTTACATCCGGGACACCCCCGGGGTGCTGGCACCCTCCATACCCAGTGCCGAGGCGGGTCTGAAGCTCGCCCTCGCCGCCACGGTGGACGACAGACTTGTGGGCGCCGAGCTGCTGGCCGACTACCTCCTCTTCAGGTGAATTCTTGATTAAGGTGACGCGTGACTGAGAAGTCATTAGTCGCAACACCACTGAGAGGTCATTGGTCACAACACCACTGAGAGGTCATTAGTCACAAGACCACTGAGAAGTCATTAGTCACAACACCACTGAGAGGTCATTAGTCACAACACCACTGAGAGGTCATTAGTTACAACACCACCACACGCTCAAGGCAGAGTGGCCCAGTGGTGACAGTTCGGAGTATCAGGATTGTAGCAGCGAGCTAGGAGTTCAATCCCAGCTACCTGCGAAGATTTTGGTCAAATCACCGAGAAGACCGCACGGTTAAGCAACGCGAAATTGAAGCATTGAGTTGCGTGTCCGAGACCCTCAACAAGCTGTGAATGATTTGCAATGTATATAATCAACGAGAGGTCGAATGGCCTTATTAATAATGACACCGCTATATTATATATACCACACTCTACACATCACACGTCGCTGTATGCGCAGGCTCAACAAGGCGGGGCGGCGGGAGTACGTGGAGGCGCTGCAGCTGTCGGGCCCCACCGACGACTGCCGCCGCCTCCTGCTGCTGCTCTGTCACCGGTAGGAGGGTTATCCGTGCCCTAGTCTTGGATGGCAGTTCTTAGGCGAGCCTCAAAACCAACCTAGCGTAGCACTAAATTGTTGCACTAGACTTGAATGAAAACTCTTTAACTAGCCACAACTAGCCTAGCCTCAACCGGTCTAGACTAGCCTGGCTTTAAATTGCTTTGAAACGTGTCACGTAATCTTGCAATAACTAACAGAACCTCGGTTAACCTAGCCATAGTTCACTAGTTAGACAATTGTACTAGCAAGGCTAGGCCTTGGGCAGCGGGTGAGGGAAGGGACGTTATATGTCTTGCACTCGAGCAATACGAGGGCTGCAAATTATAAATTGAGTATAGACGATGAATCCGTCTGTAAACAATCTGTGTCTCTAGATTATTGATATAGGTGGATCCTGAAATCTTACAGCTATCTGTCGAATATTAAAAATCTTTCTTCTTTCTGCTGTCTTTTACCTAGAAAAGTGGTCAGACTATGTATAGTAAAGAATCTTTGTGTAAGCTATTGATAAATACCGATTCTTGTTTATTCTTCCTCAACCCCGTTACTTATTAACACAATTTAAGTACCTATAGTAGTTTTGAGTTTTGAACCCACTAACGCGTGTGCTCAAATTACTCATGATGGAGGAATGACCATCTTCTTTAGTACGGTAGTTAGATGATTGCAATTATTTTGCGAAATTGGGCTCTTGTTTTTTTTTCGGGTTAGGAAATAATCTTGAATTAGTAATTTTTTTCCTCACGCATGTGCAATTAACCGACATGTATAGATGGTTTATTATTTAATTAATTAATTAACCTCTCCCTGTACGCAGCCACCGCATGACGATCACCGGAAATGCGAAGCTCGGCTTACGCGAATCACCGAACATAGCGCGCGCCGCTGAACTCTTCGTGAAGCACTGGCGAGCTGGCGACTACGGCTGCCAGATGCTCGACGAGTGCTGATGGTGGCTGCCAGATGCTCGACGAGTGCTGATGGTGAGATGGTTGCTGCCAGATGCTCGACGAGTGCTGATGGTGGCTGCCAGATGCTCGACGAGTGCTGATGGTTGCTGCCAGATGCTCGACGAGTGCTGGTGGTGGCTGCCAGATGCTCAACGAGTGCTGATGGTGACTACCACATGCTCGACGAGTGATGATGGTGACTGCCAAATGCTCTCGTGGGCTGACGGTGGCTGCCAGATGCTCGACAAGTAATGACGGTGGCTGCCAGATACTCGACGAGTGCTGACTATTACATGCTCGACGAGTGATGATTGTGGCTGCCAGATATTCTACGTGTGGTGACGGCTGCATTTAGAACCTGGAAGTCTAACTTAGACAAACATTACTTTGAGGGAAGTGGGTAAATCAATACATTGTACGATAATGCAAGAGTGTTTCTTTTCCTCAACGCATGTCCACAGCTTACTCAATTCTCGGATTTGGACATTTGCGATTAATTGAGCTTTGGTGCTTCAAACGAATTTTGGGAGGCAACTATTCTTTACTTGCAATGGTTCACGCCTGGATTTAGCGATTATTTATTTTTTAAGCTAAGAGCAAGTCTTTCAAAGGCTAAAAAGTATTGATAAAAGTCCAATTTAAAAACAGGCAAACAGAAATCAAGGTCGAAAGCAAGCAAGAATTATATATATATATATATCAACGTTATCCAAATAAACACAAGCAATGATTTAGTCTGAATGCGAGTAAAGTCTGCCGTTATTGTACCTGTTTAAGTAGAGCTAACACGTTGCTCATGCCGCAGAAAGGCTTACATCTAATGTAAATCAGATGCGTTCTCTCACGGATACTGGTTCGTTTACCACATCTTGACATTGTGAAAAAGATTGCTAATTTATGATTGTGCACTGTATGCATGCCACTTCAATTGTTTCCTCTATGGAACTTATGACAGCCTTTAGTTTGTGATTGGAATCGGGATGGACGGTCTAACTTATTCTCTTGCTAAAGTTTCCTCTGTTCGCATCTTGAAGACGCATTCTTATAATAATCGAAGCTTCTCTGCGCTCAACATTTAGAGTTGTTCTTAAGCCCCGTCCACACGCTCAGACTTTTCGTCAGTCTTGCATGTCATGCCAGGTTTGACGACAAGACGGAGCGTGTAGACGCTCAAAGTTTGACGTCTTGCATGACGGTTGGGCGGAGTTTGAGGTTTGACAAACCTGGAAAAGACGGACGGGCGAGGCCTTTGGGTTCATGCAAGACTGACGATAAGTTTGAGCGTGTGGACGGGCAACCGACTAATTGGTCAACCTTTTTCTCTATATCAGTCTATATTGATGTTGAGAGCTGTGCCATTGTTCCTCGCTAGCTCTAGTTTTTTATATCCCAGGATATCTGACACTGGTTTCACGATTTCTTTTGGTGAGTTTATGGAGTTATATCGTAGTTTCCATGTTTATGGTAAATTCGATCAAAAAGCTACAGTGACAAGAACAAGAGAGCAGTGGCCTATGCGGCATTGATCGCTAAGTGCAAAGAAGTTGATCATACAGCAAACAAAGACTTTGTAACGAAGAAAATAAACTCTTTATCGAAAGAACGAAAGAATGTGCCAAAATGAAGTCGTCAATGCTGTCTATTGCTGGTAGGGATTCTGTCTGTCAACCCTCATTGTGGTATTTTTTAAAACCATTTTCGGGACCACAGCGTACGTTTGCATCGCTTTAACCTAATTATGGTGGCACAAACTGCGCTCACTGCAGCGAGCAGCACTAGCTCCTCCATTGCCGCGAACGCACTAAAAACTGAAGAACAAGGCACGAAATGGAAAAGAATCGGCGACAGGCCACATCAGGCCTACACTTCAGAGCCGACATCACTATGTTATGTTATGTTATGTTATGAAGGAAAGTTTGAGCGTGTGGACGCTCTTCAGTCTACCGTCAAAATATCGCTCAAACCTGGCATGATATGCAAGACTGACGATAAGTTTGAACGTGTGGACGGGGTTTTAGAACGGCGGCCCACATCACGGTAAAAAAAAAAACGTGGTAAAAAAGAAGCTGAGCGTCTTTTTGTGCCGTAAAATCAACTTCACCCACCTTGCGCGTAGTCACTGGGATAGAATAATTTTTTTATATCTAGAAAAAAATCTGGTTAGAAATGTTTAATTAATAGACTAAGAAAAATTGATACGTAATTGAAATTATTTACTAGATTTTGCCTGTAAAATAAATTCAACGCAATTAAAGTAGTTAGAATCGGCGACAGGCTGCCACAAAGGCCTACTCTTCAGAGCCGACAGCACTATGTTAATTATGTTATGTTTAGAGCTGGGCAGCGCTACTTTGAAATGTAGCGGCCGCTACCGCTACATGCTCTAAATGTAGTGGGCGCTACAGCTACCGCTACAATTGCTTAAATGTAGCGCCGCTACCGCTACATGTAGCGCACTACTGCCCACCTCTGGTAGCAACTAACATGCTGACACTAGTAACAGGCTGAGGTTGACTACTTTACACCGAAATCCTCCCCACAGTTTTATTCTGTAATTTATATTATAAATGTATCATGCTGGTTTTTAAATAATATTTAATACTATTAAGTATAATCTAACGGCTTTATCTATAAATGTAGCGGTAGTGCTGTAGCGGCAAAACCTCGTATCGCTACTTAAATATGTAGCGGGCGCTACCGCTACAACTGCTTAAATGTAGCGCCGCTACCGCTACCGCTACTAAAAACGAAGCGTCCGCTAGTAGCGGCCGCTACATGTTAGTGCGCTACTGCCCACCTTTGGTTATGTTATCACTCAACATTAGATTTATGATGAAAATTTTAGTCACTAGTTCAAATAAATGATCCTATCGGTATTTAGGTTAGTGCAGTATTCCTGAGGACGTCCACTTCTGAAGCTTGTCAAACCTTGCATTATTGATCTAATTCGTTCCTTCCTTTTCTTTTTTTCTACAAAAAAAAATCCTAGAAACCTGGAAATAAAATAAATATGAAGGAGAAATAATAATTAAAAATAGAGAATAAATAGCATAGCATAAAAATATATTACAAAAATAGCATCCATTCTCTTGACTGAAGCGGTTTTCGTGTCTTCTCAGGATACGTCGCGTGCACTAGACGAGTGATGTAACGCGCGGTCTCAACCAGCCAGCCATGTCGTCAAGTCTAGAAAGTGTCAGAGGTGGGCAGTAGCGCGCTACATGTAGCGGAACAATTACCGGAAAAAATTGGTAACATAACATTACCGGACACGGGGTACAAAACCGGACAAAACCGAGTCCGGTAATTAACTGCAATTAGTTTGTACTTAAAAACCGGACACGAAAATGCTCCCGGTGGCTGGGGCTGTCCGAGACAGCCTGACGGACTATCGTTGACGAGTGCAGCGGTTGTCCAGCTCTATGGTGACCTTGGTAATGGCGTCTAGTGCAAGCTATAGCTTTTAGCAAGAGGTATCAAGCAAGTTATAGCCCGCCGACGGTGTCGTGCCATCCGTCGGAGGGCTGTGCGTGTGGCAGAGGTCTTGTTCTCTGCTGCACGTTAAAGCGAGGGACCTCAGGGTTAGGTCTAGTCCGGTATGGTTCGTTTACTGAGTGCTTTGAAAGTAGCTGAACTTGACCTGACTTGGACCTAACCTGCGAGGATTCTCGCTGTGGTCTTATATGTGCTGTCACAAGACGTGTATCAAACAAGCTCTAAGTCTCCTCTGTGGAAGGAGGCTACTGGTATCCGTAGACTTCACGGGGAGCATGAGCACCCCATGAGCAAATCTGAGTGCTGCGAAAGACGTGAGCAACAAAAGGCTCACTCAACTCCTATAACTACAGCAATAACGACATAACGGCAATGAAGGAATGTTACAAGACATGAGAAACAAGAGGCTCACTCCGTTCTTATAACTACAGCAATATTAACATAACGCTATGAAATAAATGTTACAAGACATGAGGAACAAGAGGCTCATTCCGCTCCTATAACTACATCAATAACAACATAACGCTAATAAATGAATGTTACAAGCCATCACGACACAAATCCAAATCAATAAATCAGGATCAAATAATCATAAGAATAACAAACAAATCCATATATTTATACCAAAAGGAGCACTGAATTCGTACTGAACATTTTAAATACCAAAAGAAGTACTCAATTAAATGTTTAGTCCAAGGAATTTTCATAAATGATGAAAAGTTAGGTCTAGTTTTTTCACTTATAGCTTTGTTTTGTTTCTGAATCACATTTTCAGTATTTGGTTTCGCAAAGTTATCAAACGCAAAGAAATTTTTCAATTGTGAATGATCACTGCAGGCAATGCCCACTGACGAGTTGATTTCTTGACAATTGCACAATCTAACGGATTTCGTGATCTCAGCATCAACACTTCTGACAGGTTTTATAGGCTCAGGAATAGCAATTTCATACTTTATAAAATTAACTCACCCTGGCAAATCATCAAAACAGTTTTCGTCATCCTTCAAACCCTAAGAATTAGAATGAAGATCAGATATGTTCAAATATCTGCTAATCTTAAAATCACAAGGCACGTCCTCAGCCCTGCGGATAGGAACATTCAGGAATGGGTTGTTAGTCAGGCTCAGCGCACTCCCTGTAAATCTTCAACTTGTTAATATGACATGTTCGTTCAGAATCATTAACTCTAATGACAATCAATCTTTTTGATATGTCTCCCTACCTCAAAGCCCCCTCACGTTTTGCCAACATTACTAGCACTAGTAGGAAGCTATAACAAAACCATTTCTCCAACCTTAAACTTTCTAGTGCAGGCCCTTAAATCAATGATAACTTAGAAGGACGACCACATGCAAATTTCAAACATGATGAAGATGAAATGTGGAACAGATGAATGTTATTTCATCAACCAGACCCAAAAAATGCGTCATTACTCTATCCTTTGTTTTTTGAACGCCAAAATGTTCAGCTTCAATGCATCCATGTACTAATTCCATTACTTTCTTTCTCATTTAAGAAGGCAATACAAATTGTTCGAAAATATTCAACGCAAACTTCCTATTACATGCTTTTCTAATCAATACATCGTTTCTAATGAAAATTTTAGCAAGTTTGTTGAGTTAGCATCTACAAGTTTGAAATACATTTACAATTTTTTGGATCGTCGCTGCAAAGCGTAATCTTGGGTATTTATTGTCGTTAAATCTAAAAAGATAATTTCCAAGGGGTGGTAAAGTTCCCGCATAAGATTCGAAACGTTTCTGACTCCTACTTTGAAAAGCTTATGGGACAGTACAGTTGGTCGTACAAGCACATGCGGCACTAACGTAGTTCAGAAATGTAGCATGTGCTACATGCTTCAAAAAGTAGTTCAGAAATACAGCAGCATCGGTTCTTCCTTGGAAAATACACACCCCGAATTGACACGAGGTTAAGGAGGACTTATTATACCGTTATCAGATAATTTAAGACGCAGATCATCGCCAGTCATTTGGTTTACTGGCACAAATGGCTTCCTGAGAAGGACAGTAGTAGCAATCGTATCTCGCAACATTTTGACTTCTTTCCACTTACATAAACCAAAAGTTACTGCCCTGTTAAAATTCTAAGGCGCAACCGGCGATGTTCTCGGCCGAATTAAGCAGGACGGAGCCATGAAACTACAACCAGCCATCTATCCATAAAACTGCGCAGCCCCATGGCTAATATAGAGAAGAGTTCTAACAGCTCGGCAGGAACGGAACACTGCACTGTATTAGCGCTGGCACTTGGATCGTCCGGCTGAGAGATGAGCAGAGCAGCCATGCAGTCCGTGTATTACAAGGGCGGTTTTTTGAGAGATGGAGGAGATGTACGAGGTGGAAACAGGGGAGGGATTATGAACTCCATCCTCTATCTTGTTCATTCGCATAATACGATATTTTGGATCCATTTCTGGTGCCAGTTATGAAATTTATGTCAATTCATTATTCTAGTACTTTGAATTGCTTGATAATTTATTTGCTCCTCCAGTTTTAACACGCAAACAGAAACATTTACGATCATTCACGCTTCTCTAAAGCAAGATATCAATCAGTTTATCCTGAGAAAATTTTCTTACTTGGATGTACAGAAGACGATAAAAAACAATGAATGTAAAATCAATGAANAGAAGGTTGTAGACTTCTCCAGAACGTAAATTACATCGGTTTGACCAGCACGACTTTGAGCCGCCGCCTAACATGCCACCTCCAGACCGGAGGACCGAAGAACCACATGAGAGAGGCTCATAATGAGACCCTCACTCGCGCGACGTTGGAGACTCACACCAGAATCGTCATGAGATGCCCAGACGCCACAAGACTGGCCTTAGCTGAGGCTCTCATCATCAAGCACGAGTCTCCAGCTATTAATTTGCAAACTACCGGATTTGTCAGGACATTGAGACTGTTCTCGTAATTTAAGCTTTGATTCCAATCTGTATCCATAATACCCCATGTTTGTACTAATGTCATTTCAAAATTTCAAATTCAGTTGTTGCAAAACTCTCCCTCTACTTGATAATGAATGAAGTTGCATTCTAAACGTCGCAAAATTATAATAAAATATTCCTTGGAAACCTAATATTTGACTTTTCAGTTCCTATCCAGAGCCTAATTCGCCGAATAGAGAAAAACAATAAGAAAATTGTCAGTAAGAAATACTCCTGGTCTTCAATGAAACCTGCATTAAAGAACAGCTTCTGTCAAACTACACAAAAAAATATATAATTGATGAGAATGGAGGATTATGATATAGGTTTAACAATAATGACGACATATCATTATTCTGAAATAATGTCATGAGATTATTATTGTCGTGATGACGGCGTTGTGTCCAATTAATGGCCGCCATCTGAATGGGCGGTCCTTCAGCATCGGCCGCCATTTTAATTTATTTTGCTGCGGCCATCAGTAGCTATTAAACATAAATGCAATCATTCATGTCTATTTGTGATAATATCATACAGTGATAAAGGAATATTGGTCTACAGTTCAATGGCCGCTGTCAACATACCACCAAGCCCAGGCGCACGTGTCGATCGCGTCGACCGTCCAAGTGCCGTCGACCGTCCTGACGCCCGCCGCATGAAGGTATTGCAGCAGCAGTGGCAGCTCAGCAGCACGCAGCCTGCAGAACTGCAGCGTCAGCCCCCTGAATCTGGGGACACAAACTGCAATGTCATTCCGTCAGACGCACAAACTGCAGTTTCATTCCTCCAAGGACGCAAACTGCATTGTCATTTCCCCAGACGCACAAACTGATTGTCATTCCCCCAAACGAACAAACTGCAGTACCATTCCCCTACACGCACAAACTGCAGTGTCATCCCACAGACCCAACTTGATTGTACCCCCACCAACTCACCCAACTTGATTGTACCCCAGACGCACTAACTCACTGAATGCAAACGAACGATTAGGTCAATGAATATTCGACTGAATAAGTATTCGATGTATAACTAGTCTATACGATGTATCATTATATATGATATACGGTGTATTACTATACGGTGCATATCTGTACGATATACTACTGTACGATGCGTAACTGTACAATGCATAACTATACGATGCATAACAAATGGAACTCTATTTCCACCCTGCGGAAGTCGGGGGACTACGCACCTCTTGCCAGGGGGGGCGAGGGAGGTGATAGTGTGGGCCACGGCCTCCCAGGACCCCTCATCCGCCCCCTGCACGTGCAGCCATGGCGGGGGGGAAGGGGGCAGCGGCAACGTGGGGGAGACTGAGGCAGGGGGTGGGAGTGGACGCGTGTACACCGCTGCGTAGGTCAAATAAAATAAAAGTGATGCAAGATAACAGTGGTGCCAGGTAACAGTGATGCAAAATAACAGTGATGCAAAATAACAGTGTTGCAAAATAACAGTGATGCAGGATAACAATGTGATGCAAAATAATAGTGATGCAAGATAACTGTGAAGAAAAATAACAGTGATGCAAAGATAACAGTGATGCTAGATAACAGTGATGCACGATAACAGTGATCTAAGATAACACTAATGCAAGATAACAGTGAAGAAAGATAACATTGATGCAAGATAACGGTTATGCAAGGTAACAGTGTTTACATAAATACATTACATAATGTACATACATATACAAAACATATGCATTATGACAATATTGAATATTCCTGTAAGTTATACTATTTGTAATCGTATATAAGATACCAACGTAATAGATTATAGCCGCCATGTTATAGCTCGCTGATTAATGTGAATAAGTTAATAATTTAACTAATTTGTTAATATTTTAACCATTTACCCACATATTTAATATATCTAATAGTTGATGTTGTGTGATTATTTTTATTTGATGATTATTTAGGTGAATAATCACCAAACATTACAATAAATAATAACAATACAATATATAATTGTACGGTGCCCTCTGGTTCAGCACGCCACGCTCAGTGCTGGGCAAGACTCACAGAGATTCTTGTATGTCCCCCCGAGGGCGCTGAAGTCCAGGGGCGCCAACATGTGGAAAGTAAGGTCAGCGCCCTGACACACAGAAGCGAGGGCAGTGACCCCAGCAGAGGTGCCCACTGAGCCGCTGAATTTCCGCAGCCTCACCCTGTTCCCCAGGATGGTAATGGTGAGGCGTGAATATAATGCCCTCAGTTCAGACGGATGAATAATAGGTAATGGTGTGATATGATTCTAATGCCCTCAGTTCAGAAAGATGACAAATGGTAGTGGACCAGCAATCCATTGTAATGGACCAGCAATCCATTTTAATGGAACAGGAACCCCTTGTAATGGATCAGCAATCCATTGTAATGGACAAGCAATCCACTGTAATGGACCAGCAGTCCATTGTAATGCACCAGCAATCCATTGTAATGTACCAGCAATCTGTTGTAAAAACTAGTAATCCATTGTAATGACCGGTAATCCATTGGAGTGCCTTCATAATGGACCATTCAACATAATATATGTGGACCATACAACATATAGCATAATGGACCAGCAATCCATTGGAGTTCCTTCCTGGTCGTGGTGCTTGTAGGACATGCGTCGAATTTATTGCCGCGGCCCGAATATACGTCGGTTTTTAGCCATTTGTGCTATTCTTATAATATGAACTCAAGTGTTATAAATTCAGTGAAGTGATCGTGATAGATTTGGAACGTCATTAAGCCACTATAAGTGTGAAAGTCAGTTTGAAGTGTTTAGGCCAGTCTAATACTTCCAAATTTTGTAAATTTTGTAATTTTTTTGATTCCGGATCTGTTAGATTGAACCTAACTCAGCAATCACACATTCGAGCTGAAAATCAAAAAGTTTTTTAGCTAAGAAGTGAATCAGCGTCAGTAAAGTGTGATAGGGACAAGTAATTAGTTATTTAAAGAAAATGCAGTGAGTGCTGAGACTCATGAGTCACGGGTGCAGGAAGCGTGCGTCCGAGTCCAGACCTGACCCAAATTTTATTACTTGTATCCGGTGGCCAGGTACGACCAGTTGCCTCAGCCATATTTCCTCACCCGAAGATCCCTAACAGGAAGTGGTAGGGTAGCTAGGGCGGGACTAGTTGAAAATAGTTAAGCCTTTTGAACGTAATATAAATAGTAATAGTAAAACTAGAAACACAAAATCAGTTCAACTAGACAAACGAATTGGATAAAACACGGCATTATGACAATATGTGTTGTGATTGAGCCAGCTAAGGGAAGTTTGTATGCAATCTGCCATAAGTTTTGTAATGCGCCATTAGCTGTTCAATGCAACAAATTTCGTTTATTTATTCACCTGCAGTGTACAGAGCGCCCACTTTACTACCTCGAGAGACTTGATCAGACCAGAATTACATATGAACGCAATCACTGCGTGGCGAAAGAATGCGGAGATAAATACACTGTGATAAAAATAAAGCTTCAGTCAACCATGAATGTTCGGCATGCAGCCATACCCAGTACGCAGAGGTGGGCAGTAGCGCGCTACATGTAGCGGCCGCTACATTTTCAGTAGCGGTAGCGGTAGCGGCTCTACATTTAAGGCAATGTAGCGGTAGCGGTAGCGGCTCTACATTTAAGGCAATGTAGCGGTAGCGGTAGCGGCTCTACATTTAAGGCAATGTAGCGGTAGCGGTAGCGCCCGCTACATATTTAAGTAGCGATACGAGGTTTTGCCGCTACAGCGCTACCGCTACATTTATAGATAAAGCCTTTAGATTTGACNTGGAAGCCGGTTGCTTATTGCTCTCGCAGTCTAACTTCCGCTGAACGAAACTACGCTCAAATAGAGAAAGAGTGCCTAGCATGCGTGTGGGCATGTGAGAAATTTCATTCGTATCTCAACGGACTTGAGTTCACTTTGCAGACGGACCACAAGCCACTCATTCCACTCATTAATAGCAAAATAATGCCGGACGCTCCATTGAGATGTCAGCGGTTGTTGATGAGGTTAGCCCGATACTCGCCAGTGGCTCAATACGTTCCCGGTAAGTTCTTGGTTATTGCCGACGCTCTGTCAAGGTGTAAGCAAGCAGGTGTGGATAGCACAGTCTGTGCTCTGGAACAGGAGGTCGAGGCGCATTCTGCAGCAGTTGTTTCCAACTTTCCCGGTTCGGATAGGATGCTTTCTCAGATATTACAAATGCAAACTGAAGATCCAGTCCTGCTTAGAGTTAAATCTTATATCCTGCATGGGTGGCCTGACGAAATGGTAAATAATCTATCAAATTTTTATGCTGCTAGAGGAGATCTTAGTGTCGTTAACGATTTGCTAGTCTTTAGGAATAGAATCGTGATTCCTGACCTCATGCAGCGGGAGATTCTTAAGAGAGTGCACGACGACGGTCATCTCAGTCTTCATAAATGTAGACGCAGGGTGGAGTCGTCGGTGTGGTGGCCTAACGTGGCTAAGGATTTGACGAACTTTATTGAGAGGTGTGTATTTTGTCAGATTCATCGTAGGAAAAACCACAAGGAACCAATTAGAGCCTCATTGCTGCCTGAGCGCCCATGGCAGAAAGTAGGTTTGGACTTGTTTCATCTGGGAAATCGTACTTATCTCATCATTGTAGATTATTTCAGCAGATGGTTTGAAACTGTACAATTGCATCACGCTGATTCAACAGCAGTCGTCGATGGTTTGAAAAGTGTTTTTGCCGCTTATGGGATACCAGAGCATATACGGTCCGATGAAGGACCTCAATTCACTTCGTTGTCGTTCAAGAGTTTTGTACGCCGATATTGTATTGCTCACATTGTATCTGACCCTTTTCGCCCTCAGGCTAACGGTTAGGCTGAGCGAGCGGTGCAGGTGGCTAAGACGGATGTAGAGGAAATTCATCAGGCATGGCAACAGCGGCCAATCTTCATTGGTCCGCTGCGCCACGTCAGCAGATACGTAGCCAATAAGTACACGTAGGTAGCCTTAGTCATTAGCTCGTTGAAACTCGTGGGAGGTGGAGCGCGAACTTCTTGTTTCCACTCTCGGGTAAGGTGTAGTTGTGCTTAGTTCTAACTTCGATCTTAATTCACTTAGGCCAGATTAGTGTTCGTGATAGTATTTTCCGACCAATCAAACTAGGGTCCCTTGTCTGTTCAAAATATGCTAACCTTGGCTCCTTATCACATGCTTGCCATTTGAATGCAAATAACCATAAACCGGTGATTGTTGACCCCCGTGTTCCTTGCTACAGATAGACCTCCTGACTGGCCACCAAGGGCTACTCATCCACGGAGTAACACGAACTGGCTCCCTATTCAGATCTATATCCCTATCCATATACTCATCATCCTCTTGCCCTGGCGCTTTAAGCTTAGAACTCAGCTGCACCTTGCTTCCTGGTGGATCCGTGCATCCTGATGGATCCGTGCATCCTGGTAGAACCTTGCATCCTGATGGAACCTTGCATCCTGGTGGAACCTTGCATCCTGATGGAACCTTGCATCCTGATGGAACCTTGCATCCTGGTGGAACCTTGCATCCTGGTGGAACCTTGCATCCTGTTGGAATCTTGCATCCTGGTGGAACCGTGATGCCCCAGCGATTTTATGCTGTTCAAGGGCACCTGTAACCTGCCCTCCTTTACTTTTCCTGCTTGATTTCTATTGTTTATTAAATGTTAAGTAAGTTCCGCGCGTTTCGATCCGCATCCCATGGCGAGGTCTGGTTGCGGTAGATTCTTTGGCTGAACTAACTCTGGACTGTAATTGGAATTTTCCAGCTTCTCTGGACTACGGGTGTAGAAGTGCTCCAGAATTCGTTTACAACGGACGACCCCTTTGCGTCTCTTGGCGTAAATGAACACCCCGTTAGACGTGACCGGCTGCTCCCCGGCCCAGTTGTTGATGGGTAGACGCACACGGAGTACGTTACCGTATTGTCAGCCCTACCCTCGCCCCCAGTCCTGACTTTACCCCCATCCCTAATACGACCCGCAGTCCTACCTCCGCCCCCACAGTTACTCCAGACCCCACTCTCCCTCCTGCCTAAACCCCTAATGATCGCGTTGCTCCTACCTCTGCCCCTCCAACCTTTATCACTGCCTTGAACTTTTTGAATTTGGAGATCGGTTTGCCATCATCCTTTCCAACCTTACCCTCCTCCAAGAAGCTGATATACCCTCAGGCAGGTAAAGGGTTAGACAAAGAATTTGCTGCAAGTACCTGAACTTTTTGAATTTGGAGATCGGTTTGCCATCCTTTCCAACCTTACCCTCCTCCAAGAAGCTGATATACCCTCAGGCAGGTAAAGGGTTAGACAAAGAATTTGCTGCAAATACCTTAAAAGAAATGCGAATACGGTAAAAATGGGAAAGTATGCTCTTTTTCACACCCCAAAATATGTTTTAAATTCTTTGGAAGCGGTTGTTGTTGTTGTTGATTGCGACCGTCACGCTCGCCGGGGGGGAGGCTCTGGTGGCGGGCGGGGGACCGGAACCGGAAGAGGAGGGAGGTGGGCGAAGGCAGGGAGGGTGGCCAGGAAAGCCGCTGCCTCCACGGGGTTGTCCCACAGTGAGGAGACGCTGAGAGACGTGGGGAAGGCGGGGCAGACGAAGAGGTGCTGAACAGATTGGAGAGGATCCCCGCACTCCGGGCAGGCGGAGCTAGAAAGCGTTCGATCCTGGCGGAATAGGACGCCAGGGAGCTGCAGTATCCCGAGCGGAGCTGGGATAACGCTGAGCGGTAGGGGCGAGGGAGTGAGGTCTCCACTGAAGCAATCGGCGGTGGCGGGGCAGCAAGGACAGCGTTTATG